CCAGCACCGAGACCAAGAGGGAAAAAAAGAAAACACAGGAAAAAGAAATTAAATGGAAATGAGCCAGCGTTGGATGCTGGGCAGGGAGTGAAGCTTTTTTGTCTCCCCAGAGGGGCTCAAAAGAACTTAAACGAGTTTTTTTGGGGGTTATTTGGAAGCTGTAGATTTTGGGAGGGGGGAGGATGTTCATCCTGCCGGAGAGTGGCCACGGCTCCACAGAGTTGCTCAGGTTGTTTTACCACTGCCAAAGGTGAGGGGAGCAAAGGAGCAGCGGCTCAAGTGACGGCTCCAAGGTGGAAGTGATATGTCCAGGGTGGAAATGTTATAGCCAGAGGAGAAATCCTATAGCCAGGGGAGAAATCCTATAGCCAGGGGAAGGAAATCCTATAGCTAGGAAAGAAATCTTCTATTCAAGAGAGAAATCCTATATATGGGGGGAGGAGAGGGAACCCATATCCAGGGGAGAAATCCTATATCCAGGGGAGAAATCCTATATCAGAGGGAGGAAATCCTATATCCAGGGGAGAAATCCTATATACAGGTGGGAGAAACCTATATCCAGGGAAGAAATACTATATCCGGGGGAGGCAATCCTACAGTCAGGGGAGAAGACCTATATACAGTGAAAAATATCCTATATCCATGGGAAAAATCCTATATCCATGGGAGAAATCCTATATCCAAGAGTGAAATCCTATATTCGGAGAGAGGAAATGCTGCATCCAGGGGAGAAATACCATATACAGGTGGAGGAAATCTATATATGCAGGGGAATTTCCTATACCCAGGGGAGAGATCCTATATTCAGGGGAGAAATCCTACATACAGGTGGTGAAAACCTATATCCAGGTTGAGAAATCCTATATATAGGTAGGGGGAATTTATATTCAGGAGAAAAACAACCATATCCAGGGGAGACATCCTATATTCAAGGGGGAAAAAGCATATCCAGGGGGACATATCCTAAATCCACAGGAGAAATCCTATGTCTAGTTGGAGGAATCTTTTATATAGATGGGGAACCCTATATCCAGGGCAGAAATCCTATATTCAGGGGACAAATACCATATCCATGGGATAAAAACCTCTACGCAGGGGATGAAAACTTGTACCTAGGGGAGAAATTCTATATTCAGAAGGAGAAATCCTATATATGAGAGAAAAAATCCTATATATGAGGGAAAAAATCCTATATGTAGGGGAGAAATCCCATATCAAGGGAGGAGAAATCCTATACCCAGGGTGGGCTTTGCCTCTTTGGAGGTGCCCAGGAGGAGGGATGGGGGCTTTTCCCCATGCTGTCACCTGAGCAGGAGGGGGGAAAAGGGGGGAAAAAAGTGTGGAAAGGCTAAAAAAAAAAAAAAAAAGGGAAAAGCAGGAAGAAAGGGGGAGAGGGGCAGGAAAAGTCGGGGAAAACACGGAGAAAGGGGGGAAAGGATGTGGGTTTGTGGTGGATCAGCTCCCCGAGCCGGCCAGCAGCAAGGGGAGCTCACCCTCGGGTGAGGAGCCAGGGGTGCAGCTCCAGTTAATCCCTTTATCCACGGGCGACCCCCGATCCCACCTGGACAGTAATTTAGGGGGTGGAGGAGGGGGAAGAAAAAGCTTTAAAAAAAGCTGGATTTGGGGACGGGGGTGATTTTCCCGAGCGGGCTGTGGGATGCAGGATGCTGACCGGGCTGTGGCCCCGGCGGGATGGACCCTGAACTGGTGCGAAGCAGGAGGGGGGTTTGGGGCGGGGGGGGGCTGGGGGGAGATGGGCCTGGGGGGCTGCAGCAGCGCTGGGGTCGGGGGAAGACGTGGAGTTGGTTGAGCTTTTGGGTGCAGCACCCATCGCACCCCCCGCCCCCACCACCCCAAACCCCCTCGGCCGCCCCCGGACCTCGACACTAATAACGGATTAAAGGCGGAAAAGCGGGTGCTGGGTGGGGGGGAGCGGGGGAAGGGGGGACCTACATTGCAGCAGTCCATGGCGGAGGGCGGGTGGGCGGCCAGCGGCGGGCGAGGGGCTCCGGCAGGATCTCGCTTCCCCGGCAGCTCTCCCGGCGCAGGTGGCAAGTTGAGCGGAGCCGCTTGCCTACGTAATGCGCTTTCCTCCGGGCGAGCCTATCAGCCCGACACCCCTGCCAGGCTTTTGGGGGGGAAAAGGGGGGGTGTCTTATTTTTTTTTTTTTCCTCCCTTTCTCCTCTTTTTTTTTTTTTTTTTTTTTCCCTCCTCCAATTTTATTTCGCAGCCTCCAACTCCCTCCTAACACTTAAAGGAGCCGGCAGCTCGCCTCGGAGTTTCGTGGAACACAACATCACATGCGGAGGATGCGAGCCAAGATCTGACAGGGCTCGCCCTCGGCGTGGAGGGTTTTTTTCTTTGAGAGAGAGGGGACAAAGCTGCAGTAAATGGGGGCTACGGGTGCATTTTTTGGGGGGGACACTTGGCCCGCAGTGATGCTGGAGGGAGGTTTTGCCCCCCCGGCTTCGTTTGCACAGGGGGAAAATCGTTCTTGACCTACTTAGGACTTGGTCCCAAAGAAGAGTGTGAATGAGGATGGCGAGGATGAAAATGGTGAGGAAGGGTGGGCATGGTGGGACACCAAGTCCCAGCAAACACCCCCTTAAGCCCAGGGGTGATTTGCCCAACTCCAGGCTCCACACAGAGGAGTGGGCTCCACTCTTGGGGTCTAGGGTCCTTTCCCCACTCACAGGAGCATCCAACCCCCTACATTTGGGGTGCTCTCCAACCAGACCTGCACCCCCAGCTGCTTTCCCAGCCCTTGGTGCTGCCTGCAGACCCTGCTTCCAGCCTCGGACCACGCCGAGGTGCTGGGGCTGGCAGGGTGAGCCGGGGCAGCCCAGGAAAGAGGAGGGACCTCCAGGGCAATGCGGGGGGCCGCAGCCTGCAGCCCCCCCATCGCCCGCCTCGCTCTCCTCTAATCCGGGTTTGGGAGTTGCTAAGCAACTGCATAAGTCGCCCGTGGGCTCGGCGCCGATGCTGCTCCGGCCGGCCCCCAAAACACAGCGTGGCCCCCCCAGACAGCACCAGCACCCCTGGCCCACCTACACAGCCCAGCCCTGCCGGCGCTCCCAGGGTGGGTTGGCTCACCCTGGGGTCGTTGTTCTTGGGGGCCTGGTGGCACTGACCTTCCCCTTTGCCATCAACTCATCCCTGTCCCACTGACATCACTGTCACTGTTCCTGCCACTGTCCCCACTGCTGCCACCAGCCCTGTCCCCATCCCTGACCTCATCCCCATCACCTCCATCACCTTCTCCATCCCCACCATTTTGCCTGTCCCCATCTCCATCACCATCCCCATCATGATCCCCATCCCCATTCCTGTCCCCTCCCCCGTCTCCATCCCCATTCCTGTCCCCTCCCCTGTCTCCATCCCGATTCTTGTTGCCATCCCCATTCTTGTCCCCATCATCATTCTTGTCCCCATTCCCCTCATAAATCCCCATCACTGTCTCGATTTCCAGCTTCAATCCCATCATTTCTGTCCCCATCCCTATCCCTTTCCCCATCCCCATCATCACCCTCATCCCTGTCCCTATCCTGAGCCCGGTCCCTTTCCCATCCCATCTCCATCTCTGTCCCTGGGGCCATTCCAGATGGATGCAGGTGGTGGCACCCCTTGTGCTCTGACACCCCAAGCTCCCCAAGACAACCAGACATCCCGCTCCCCATCCCACTCCACCCCATTCCATCTCATCCCCGGAACATCCCATCCCTGCCCCCCACCGTGACCCACACTTGGAGGCTGATGGGGGTCACCCCCACCCCGCAGCACCCAGGCACACAAATCCCCCTCCAGGACATGCTCCCAAGCATCCCTCAATTCTTCCACCAGCTGCTGGCACCCTACTCTCCCTGCTGGAGATGCTTTTCCACCACCAGCTCTTCCCACCAGCATGGTTGGGCGTGTGGGGAACAGCTCTGCTCCAGAAAACCCCACTCCAGCTTCCAGAAGAAGCCTCGGCAGTTCTGCTGGGATTCTTTTCCCTGTTTTCTTAGACCCTGCAGGTCCATCGCTGCCTCCTCCGATCAGAGGAGACGGTGTTTGGGGGGAGTGAAGCGGGAAGGGTTTTCAGGGTGATTCATCCATCAAGGATCTGGGAAATTAGCCCCAAAATTAGGATTAGTCCCTCAATTATTCCCCAAAATCCGCTCCAGCCGTGGCCCCCCGGTCCTGGCAGAGCCACCAAGCGCCGCCGTCTCCCGCAGGCTGCGGCTGCGGAGGAGGGACGTGAAATGCCAGAACATTTCTAATCATTAACGGCGGGTTTTGAGCCCATTCCAGGCTCTGCATTTTTCCTCCCCGGGCCCCTTCATCCGGGTGATGCTTTTCCAGGTGCTCCAGCACCTCCTGAAACCTGTATTCCAAGGGAACAACTCAGATGTCGGGAGGGGAGGAGGACGGGCAATCGCAGCTGGGCAAGACCTGCCGGGAACATCCCGCCGTTGTGGTTTGAGATGGTTGGCACCGAGGTGTTAAAAAATCCTTTAGAAAAAAAAAAAAAGGAAAGAATCCTTAAAAACAAAATGGGAATTGGATGCTGGAAAGATGCCCTGGGCGGGCAGCGTTGCCGGCTGCCGAAGCAGGAGCCGGCAGCCGGCGAGGCGGTGCCGGAGTGGGGGTCAAGGCGTAGCTGGTTGGCATCAGCCCCGGCACGGGGTCCCCGCCAGCTTTTTTCCTCATCCCTCTTCCTGTTTTTCCCAGGGGAGCTGCCATCATGCCCCGTGCCGTGGGCGAGCACCGCATACGGCCGGAGAAAACAGGAAAGAGGGGGGAAAAACGGGGTGAGCACGGATGGGGGGCTCAGACCACCCCCAAAAATAGAACACAAACCCCATCACTAATTGGGGGGGGGATTTTGGAACAACTCCAGGTGGGAAAACACGAAGTTCACCGGTTGGAGTGAGACTAGGGGACCCCTGCACGCACCCTGAAATTCCACAGAGGCATCTGAGCTCTTGGAGGTGGGTAGGAGAGGAGCAATGTCACATCATTTCTTCACGCCGGGATGTTATTAAGTTTCTTCCAACCTCCAGGGATGCAGGGGCCTAAATATAGAGGCTAAAAATACCAACCTGTGCTCAGCTCAGCCCCAAACCCGGGAGTTTTCGGGGAGAAATCTCAGGTGAGCAGCGCTAATAACGGTCAGGACCTCATTAATAAAAGTCCTCATTAAAACAGCGCCACAGGGGTGGGATGGGAGCCCCCAGGAGAAAGGCAGGAGCCAGGGTGGGATTGAGGAGTTTTTTTTTGTTTTGGAGTCGGATGGTAGGAAATGGGAGATTTGGGGCAAGCACTAGGGTCGTGTCCCTGGGGAGGTGTCCTGGTTCATGAGGGTTATGGGAACGTGCACCCCCTGGGCGTCTCTCTCTGCATTTTGGGGTGGAATCACGGCGTGTCGGTGCCCTGGGTGCTCTCTGCTCCCCCTGGTGCTGCCCCCGTGTCCTTGGCCTCCTTCGGTTCCTGGAAGAAAAGCGGGAAATTTAGGTGGTACGGGACAAGGGCGGCAGAAACAGGGTGGGGGCAGGGACCCAGTGCAGCCCTTGGCACCTGGATTTCCCTGGAGGGGCCTGGAAGGGAGGGTGGCCTACCTGGGAAGGGGGCCAGGTGAGGCGGTGGTCCTCCAACAGGGCTCCCCATGCCACCGGATCAACGGCGCCGGCTGGGGAAAGAGGAGACATGATGGGCACATGGGCAGGCACAACAACACAGGTGATGGGCATGTGGGGCAGGTGTGATGCTGTGGGAGCTGGGCCCCAGGAGAGGCCTGATGATGGGCACGGGGGACAGGACTGACACTCTGGTGATGGGCACATGGGGCAGGCCCGATGCCCTGGTGATGGGACGTGTAGCAGGCGTGATGCCACACAGGCTGGGCAGGCAGTGCAGCATGGGGAGGTGTGGGATGGGTGCTGGGCCGGGCCACTCACCCTCTCTCTGCTCCAGCAGCCTTTGGAAGTACTGAGCTGCAAAGGCCACCACGTCTCCGGGCTGCTCCCGCAGCACTTCCCGCACCAGCCCCTCCAGCAGGTTCTGGAAGCCGGCGGGCACCCTCACGCTGGTGGTGGAGAAGGGGACGGACATGGCCGCTCTCCTGGACTCCCTGCGGCAGAACAGCCCGGGATTAACCCTAGCCCGCAGCCCCCGGTGCCACCGGGCAGCGCCGGGACTCGAACCCGCGGGCCGAGGGGGTGCGGGGAGCGCTGAGGAAGGGGGGCAGCGCCGCCGCTAGGGGGCGATCCGCTCTGCGCACGCGCAGAGGGCGCGCGGCACGGGTAGGGCGGGAGGGGGGCGAGCGCGGGGAGGCCCCCGATGTCCCCACGGTGTCCCCACGGTGTCCCCACAGTGTCCCCACGGTGTCCCCAGTGTCCGCCCGGGTCCCCCCGCGCCCCCAGTTTCCTCCCTCGGTCTCTGCCGTCAGACCCGGCCCGGGCCGCGCCGCCGCCTCAGGCCGTGGGTGCGGACGCCGTCGCTTGGCAACCGTACACAGGCCACGCCCTCTACGCGGTGGCCCCGCCCGCGGGGCGGGGCGATGGGCGGGGCCACCGGAGTGTCCGGGGACACCGGGGGGTACCGGGGGGCGCCGGCGCCCTCACGGCCCGTGGTGCCCCCGGGATGGCGGCGTGGGCGCTGCTGGCGCTGCTGGCGCTGCTGGCTCAGGCTCCGGCGGCGGCAGGTAAAGGGCTGGGGGGGGTTCACCCTCCGCCCCCCTCCCAGCCCCGCGGGCAACCCCTGCAGCGGGACCCCCCCGA